TTGGTAATGAAAAAAAGAATACTGAGCTGTTACGTGACATCTGACCTTCTTTATGGCAGCAAGTGTTGGACGATTTCCTCAAAGATGAAGAAGAGACTCGAGGTGAAAGAGATGTGATTCTACAGAAGGATGCTGAGGATATCATAGACCAAGTGTGGAAGTAACAATGAAGTCTTAGAGAGGATGAAAACAAGGAGGAGGCTTATACTTAACATCAGGAAGAGGCAGCTGAAGTTCCTGGGACACATAATGAGGAAGGAGGGCCTGGAGAATCTGATACTCACGTGTCGAATAGAGGGAAAGAGAGACAAGGGAAAACAATGCATGACATACCTAGTGGCCTTAAGCAAGTGGATGACAGAACGTGGTTTGGGGGAGGTGGCAGACGGAAGGAACTTATTGAGAGCTACAAGGGATAGAGGGAGGTGGAAAGCCATGATCGCCTACATCCTGAAAGGACAACACAGCACATAGAAAGAAAGAAAGTCATTGATTTCAGCCACATACAATAAAAACATTATTAATTCATTGGAAAGTGTCTGCTGGCTTAATATAGCTGGAAAATAAGGAAAAGAATTTCTGCTTTTTGGTGGCTTTCTCTCTGTAACCCTCCCCCCCACACACATACACTTTATTATTCTGTCCCTCTTTTTCATGCACTCAGCTTGAAGGGAATAATAAAACAGGGAAAGCTAAAGACACCACCCTTTTCTAATCCAAGCAAAAGAATTTCTACTTTTCGGTGACTGTCTTTTTCTCACCCACTTACTATTATGCTCTGTCTCTCATGCCCCCTACTAAAAAGGCTAGTAAATTCACTGTTTAACAACAAGCATTTTCTCTACTTACTCTCCCTAAATAATATTGCTTGTAACAATTATCCTAAGAAATGAAGAAATGGGGAATACAAAAAATATGAGTACAAAGAGGATAGTGAAAGTTATAAATAATTAAATTTATATTACACAAAATTATTTGTCTTGAAAAAATGTATGGCATACAGTGCATGTATTGCATACATGAACTCCTTGCACCTGGTGCTATCCCTCTTGGTTAGTCAAGGATACAATCAATAAAACTTCAGGAAAGTCCACCATCATCAAATTACCATGAAGAAAGTTCACTGTGGAAAAAGTTCACCTTGGAGAAAGTTCACCATAAAAGGACAAAAATTTTTTAAAAATTAATGGTTTCTAATTTTAATGAGTTCTAATTTTAATGGGTTCTAATTTTATTGATCAATATTTGGAAATTTTGGGACTGCATTAAGAATGAACTAAGACTAACTTCAGTCAAAGTTGAATGGTAGAAGTGTGTACAAAAATGACAGAAAGCCTATGTTACTTTTGCTGGGCAAATTCAAATACTCATTCTAAATTACAACAAAGAGAATTGTATCCCAGACTATCCCAGATCAGTGTTTCTCTAACCTTTTAATCAATAGCACACCTAGGAGTAAATGAAAATATCATGGCACACCTAGCAAAATTTTTAAAAGGTATACATTTAAATGTTATGAAACAGATTTTTAAAATACACAAATATGGACTTACTTTACTTCAATGTTACTATTCAATTATTTGTGGAGCTTATTTAGTGTGGAACCGTTGTCTGGTATTTCTTCAAAGTTTGGCCAAATGTGCAACAAGCAGACCCTCATTTCTTCAGTTGAGTATAGTCTTTCTTGCTCTTTATTTTTTATGTTATTTAAGGTTGAGAAGCCTAATTCACATAAATAAATAGTAGAAAGTTACAATAAAATTGATAAAGCCTTTTTAGCTAATGTGAGGTATTCCTTTTGTATTGAAATCCGAAATGTATCAAGGGTACCATTGCAAGTTTTATTTTGAGCCCTCGATCACTAGAAAGGGTGGCCAATTCTTCTTCTTCTCATAACTGGAGTCCATTATAAGAAAGAAACATTTATGAAGGGATTTTGAATCCAATCATACTTTTCTGTACTCAATGAAGGAAAATAATAGTCAATGTTTTCATTGAACATTTTCAGATTATTACTTCCACACGCATATATGTATGCTGTGACAATATTATGCAGCATAATAGTGTGCCATATCAGTGGGGAATCACTGGTATAGATATATTGAAAAGGTTTAGCATTCAAGACATTTCATATCATTAATAATGAATTTGTGGGAATTGGTGTAATAAATACATTGGCTATTTTCCATATTATCTGCCTTAATGATATCAGATACATCAGATATCACTACACTCATTATCAAAGATAACAGAGGTAGACTATGCTGATTATTTGAATTAAGGCCAAATCTAACCATCTCCAATGAACCCTGTGTGGAATTACTTTGTAATATGCCTTTTTCTTTTTTGGCCTTCAGGATGGGATCAAAGCTCCTCCTGTCTAAGCTATGAGAGAAGCTTATCCCTAGGAATTCCAAGCATTCAGAGAGAGAGAGAGAGAGAGAGAGAGAGAGAGAGAGAGAGAGAGAGTTGTTTTGACTCTGGTCATAGTAACTGGATAGTTTTTGTTGTGGGCCCCATGTGTGTGCATACATGCACCTCACATTAAATTGACCTCCTGTCACCGTGGGAGGTGGGTAAATAACTAAAACGCCTCCTATTTTTTTCACTCATCTGCCACAAAGTGGGTGTTTCAATATAATCTAAATGACTACACTTGATTAATTTAATTATATATGTATATAATTGATTCATTCCTTGTTATTAAAATCTTAATTATTTTGTCATTGTGATTACAAAAGATTTTCTGGGAAGTATGAATATCAAAAAAGTATCCATATAAATTTGTAAATAATACATTTATTATTCTCCAATATTCTCACAATAAATGTGAATATTTTTCTCTATTCATTTTCTAATTAATTATTTATTTTGGTTACATTGTTTTTATTATAAACAATTAGTTATGTTAATAAAATATAAACTACTTTGCCAATGCCATAAAAAAGAGAGAAATACTTAAGTATTTGGTTATATTTTATGCATGAATCAGCTAGGATTTTTATCTATACAATTAACACCATTGTCATATGGAAGAAAGAAACTTTCTTTTCAAAAAAACATTAAAATTAAAAACATTGAAAATAGAAGAAAAATGTAACATGAAATTCCATGATCTCTTCCATCTTCCTGCTTTCCAGTTAACTTTGATCTTTAAAAATTTAAATGCAATGAACCATAAGTTCTATGCTAACAGTTTCTTCTCTCACACTTCTTGCTTGTAGAACTCTCTTTTGGCTTCTTGCTTTCCAGTTAACTTTGATCTTTAAAAATTTAAATGCAATGTCAATAGTTATTTTCTGTCTTCTTCCTGTTCTTTTCTTTTTTTTTTTTGTAAACATTTCACCCCAAGCAAAGCGGTAGTGCCACTAATATGCAGGGGCTTGAAAGTGAGAGAAAATACTGGGTATTGGTGGGAGGTTGAGGAAAGGATAAAATATGAACAGGTTTCAAGACAGCAGAAGATGGCGACTGACTTTGCATTTCAAGCCCTGAAGATTGTAGTTATCAGGGAAGCAAGTAAGAGGAAGGGAGTTCCACTCTCAGGAAGAAAAGAAACTGTTGGAGTAGAAGTGGCAGTTACATTTCTCTCTCCTTCATAATGTTTTTCTTTTCTCATATTCTCTTACATTCAATAACCCTTTGCATCTTATCAAGGTTTTATTGCCTTGATTGGGGTTGAATGGTTAAAAATATATATATATATATATATATATATATATTAAATCATTTTCCAATTGCACTGCTTATATTTTATACAAATGGACACATCGCTGAATGTTTAGAATGTACACTTTACAACTATGAGACAGGGGTTTTAATCTCACTATGGATGATTTGTCAGGAAGGTCACTTCTTGATGTTATTGGCCTATAGAGCATGCGGCATCTTTGGAAAGTTTCTGAAAACCATACCACAGGTTGACCTGAGCCTCTCTCCAAGAAACTGTAACTAATCCCCACTCACCATAATTACAGTATAAACCATAGGTGAGCTCTATTGGTGTTGAACAAGCACAAATATGCCTGAGCAGGCTTCTGCAATAGGGATTTTCTGGACCTCCCCACACCCAGCAGACAAGCTTACTAGGATATGAGCAGTCAGCCATTACATACATTTCATGCATGAATCAACTGAAGAATCTGCAATGTAATCAGTCCTAACCTGGCATCTCGACTTCAGTCACTTTCTCATAGATGTAAATGTGGCTTCTCTTTGCCTTTTTGACAAATATTTTCATGGCAACTGTTCTGATGAACTATCTTCCCTGGTGCCCTGACTACATGAATTTTAAGTGTGCTACTAGATTGGCACTCTTCATAAATTCTGTGTAACACCATGAATCTTGGATAAGAAACTGGAGTGGTTTCCTGTTGCTTTTTCCAACGGTTTTGAGTTCCAAGTAGTTCCTGTAAACTGGCTTCCACCCAAGATGTGAGAGCTCGGGGGTATACACTACTATCTATTCTACTGGGCATGGGGAGATGGATTCATATCTTTCTGAAGGGCATTCATGCAAAAGTGAATGGAGCAGACGAGGCCAGAATTTGATATCGATTCACCACATTCACTTTCCGCCCTGTTATCTCTTGCACTAACTGCGCATCTTTGAATTATAAATGCAACACTCTCTGGTCTTTCTCTCTTTAATCTTTAATTAATAATTCTTTCATCTTAATTTTAGGGTTTTTTTATCACATCTATTCAGATTGTCAGTTTACAATCATAAGTAAAAACCATAAATCAGAATTAAAGAATAAGTTATCTGTAAAACTTTAACATTCATCTCACTGACAGCTTTGTTCTTGATTCCCAATTTGTGCTGTTTACCAATGACTACAGACTAACAGTTTGAATACATTTCTAATAAAAAACCAATGAAAATTTAAAAAAAGAATTCCTAATCCAAAATGGCTGACAATGATTCAGCTAATAATAAATAAATTATATTACTATTAATGCTTGTAGTTCTTTCTATTGATATTTTCCTTATGGTTAAATTAAGCTCAAAACACCAGTTCTTGTTCTATCACCAAAGTTAAGCAATGTTGAGCTGAGTCCTTACTTAGATGGGGGATCACTTGGGAACACTGGGTGCTGTGACTTACTACAATACAAAGTATGTTTCGGCTTTAAATAACCCACAATGGGTTGATAAGCCGTAAAAAACAAATCAATCAATCAATCAATCAACTATTGATATTTTCACTTTTTTTTTACTATGACAATGGACAGAGTTGCTCTAAGTACTAAGATATAAATTTTGGCGCGATTTTGAAATCTGAAATAAATAATAAAATAATTAATGAATAAATAAAAATAATAAACTAAGTAATAAATAAATAATAAAATAAATAACAAATAATGAAATGAATAATAAAATAAGTAATAAATAATGAAATAAATAAATAAATAATTAGATAAATAACAAAATAAATAATAAATAACAAAATAAATAATAAATAAATAATAAAATAAGTAATAAATAATGAGATAAATAATAACATAAATAATTAAAAAAAATAATAAATAAATAATAAAATAAGTAATAAATAATTAAATAAATAATAAATACATAATTAAATAATAAATAATTAAATAAAATAACAAAATAAATAATAAAATAAATAATAAATAAATAATAGAATAACTAATAAATAATGAAATAAATAAAATTAATACATAATTAAAATACAATAATAATAATAAATAATAAGATAAATAATGAAATGAATAATAAAATAAATAATAAATAAATAATAAAATAACAAATAAATAAATAAAATAAATAATAAATAATTTAATAAAATAAGTAATAAATCATGAATTAAATAATAGAAAATGATAAATAAATAATAGAATAAATAACAAATAATGAAATAAATAATAAAATGGTTAATAAATAATAAATCTTTTTTGCCACAAACACAATCCAGCTCCAAAAATATACACAAAAACTTATAAAACTTTGGGGTAGTAAGAAAATCTCAAATTTTGACTAATATCACCATTAACAACCCCTTTAACATTTTGCATTCAGATTTTATTTTACTGAATATATGTTTCTTTCCAGAATTAATACTGAAGACAAGCTGCCCAGTGACACACTGAAAAATATCTATAAGGTATCTTCCAAGAGCAAAAAGAAGCCATCTTTAACATGGGTGCTGCTAAAGGTTTATTTCTTGGAACTCTGGAAGTCTTGGATGTGCAAGTTTACTCATGATCTTCTAATGTTTGTCAGCCCCATGATACTTAAGTATGCAATTGGTAGTTTTTCATTTGATTTCTTTTTTTTTTTTTCATTGCTAAAATTCTTTCTTTGGCCTTTTTATTTCTGCCTTTTGACATGATTTATGTTTTTACCAATATCTGTGGTGAGTGTTTAAAATACAGTATACACACATAATTTGTTTTAAATAACTTTTTTTTTTTTTTCACAACCAGAAAACTGCAAAATTTATATCATTCAGTGATTGAAATGAATTCAAGTAAGACTGATTTTGTGAATGTTTTAAGAAAGCATGTCACCCACAACTATGACGGTTACACACCTGGCCCAGGGTCGAATCCCTTGGTTACGGCGCCAACTGTGACGTGCTCCTCCTGGTCGCTCCTCCTGGTTCCAAGCGTGCCGCTCCAACCCCTTGGTTGGATGATCACCAGCCTCGCCTTTCCCAACTCGCTTCCAATACCTGGTCACTAAAGCAACTGTACCGATCTCCGGTCTGTCTACCCACGCTGTGTTTAGATCTTAGACAGACGGGACCAGCAGGGATTGGGGCCGATACAAGTTGAGTCCGACGGGGGTGGCAAAACACAAATAAAAAGAAAATAAACTCACGAGACAAAAAGATTGCTGATGAAAAAAAAGGGTAACAACCTTTTATATCTTAATGTCCGTTACATAAAAACAAAATTGTTCTCAATTCCCGACCCGCTCTGTGGACTATGGCACCAAGCTTCTATCACACAACCTAAAGATTTCGAATTGCCTACTCTTTAGAATTGTGTATGTCGGAGTGTGGTTTGGTTCGACACTGGGGCTAATTTCTATCGATCATTCGCAGTTGATTCTTCTCTTCGACTTGAGTTGTATTTCTTCTTCTTCGTCGACTTAGGCTGGAAGTTTCTCTTGTCTTCGACTTGGGCTGGAAGGATCTCTTGCCGCAACTCAGCCGCAACTCTCTGTCGTCCGAGGTGATCTCTTCTCGCTGCCGTCCGGGGCTGAACTGCCTTTTGTCGATTGGGGCCCTGCTTTTATTGACGCCGCAGCAAACCGGGGTGGGTCTGTCGGCGTCAGGGGTTTCTCGATAATTCCAAAAGTCGCATTATTTTTTGACTTCCCATTATCGCTATTGTTTTCACCCCTACTTCCTCACAGTGCCTTTGGTGGGGAGGTGCACACCCATCTCTCTTAGTCTCTCGTATGTCAGGTGACCGTTTTTCGACCAATGGTTCCTGATCGGGCATTTCTTTCTCTTCTTTTCTGCAGATCACGTGACCGTTTCCGACCAATTGTTATTGATCGAGCATCCTTTCTCCTCCTTTCGGGCGTGGTTACATCGTTCTTGTTTTTAAAAAAAACAAAATCCAATTTTGCCTTTTCTGCACGTACGAAAAATGACAATCTTGGCTTTCTCTCACCTGGGCTCTGTCAAACAGCCCGCCGCTAATTAGATGTGACTTCAGGGAAGAATATTGGCGCTATCTGTGAACTGAGACAATCGTCCCTTCACCTCCCGTCTTTGTCAGACCCGACAGTCAGAAAATCTTAATTATCTACATTGAAAATGTTCCCACTTTATTATCGTAGGTTTCCAATTCTTAATAGGTCAGGATCTGTATATAGTTCCACCGGTCACTCCCCTCAACCCAAAAACACTTTTTCTCTGATTAAGATTTCGTTCTCATTGTTCTTAAAATTTCCCTTTACTCCAAATTGATAATGAGTCTTTCTACGCAAAAAGTAGGTCAGATGTTTTGACCGATATCTGGTTTTCATCAAGCGGCCCGTTTTGATATCATGTCTTTTCCTTTCTTTCTTCTTATTATTTCTAATTCTATTCTTCCAATTGTCTTTAAAAATTCGGCCACACGCAGGCCAAGATATCTTTCTGACTCCTATCTCCACCATTGACTGGGTCATGCATCATCCAACTCTCTTTCTTTCTTTTTTCTTTTTCTTCCTCTTTCTTCTCTTTTTCTTTTCTTTCCTCTTCTTCCCTTAGGATCGTCTAAGTACAATCTTAGTGAATTATTTTCAACTCAATTATTTTCCGTTTTAAAAAAAATCAACAACCTGTTTAGTAAACCGAGTAAGAAAAAATTAAATCATATTTCTATGAATATTTCTAATAATGCAAGGTGCCACAATCCTCCCCTAACCGATTTGTCATTTACCCGTAAATGACACCTAAACCCAATTACATCATTTAACATGCACCATGCATTTGTCTCATGCAATTCTATTCTACTTTCTAACATGCAAGGGTAATGTTCTTTCCATTTTCTTTTGTTCTACATGCAATGAAATGTTCTTTTCATTTTCTTTTGTTCTACATGCAATGAAATGTTCTTTTCATTTTCTTTTGTTCTACAGGCAATGAAATGTTCTTTTCATTTTCTTTTGTTCTACATGCAATGAAATGTTCTTTTCATTTTCTTTTGTTCTACAATGAAATGTTCTTTTCATTTTAATTTTACATGCAATTTTCATTTTCTTCTGTTCTACATGCAATGAAAATTTTCTTTGTTTTGCAATGAAATGTTCTTTTTCATTTTCTTCTGTTCTACATGCAATGAAATGTTCTGTTTTGCAATGAAATGTTCTTTTCATTTTCTTTTTTCTACATGCAATGAAATGTTCTTTTCATTTTCTTCTGTTCTACATGCAATGAAATGTTCTTTTCATTTTCTTCTGTTCTACATGCAATGAAATGTTCTTTTCATTTTCTTTTGTTTTACATGCAAGGTAATGTGTGCGTGTGTTTGTAGGTGCAGATGTGTTCACTAGGGTTTGTTCTTCTTGGTCAATGTTTTCCTCTCTGCCGTGGGAGGTTTTTCCGCCGCACGTGGTGGTCTCACGCCAGCCTCCTCCATTGGTCTTTCAGCAATTTCTTCGCCAGTCCTGTCTGAGTAAGGAACACTGCTCGGCATCTCCCTCTCGAGTTGCTGCATGCTCACTAGACTGTCGTTCGCCAATCTTCTCTTACTCTTAATCTTCCATATTATTACACCCCCGATGGCTATAACTAGGAATGTACCCATCACTATTGACCAACTTATCGCGATCTGCTCATCGTCTTCCCAAGCTACACCTTCGTCTCCCAACGCACTTAACTTATCCCTTAAGTGATCCATATCGATCTTTTCTATTGGCTTCATTAATACTGGCATCTTATTTAAGGTGACATTAGAGAATCTCTTCACTATCGGCTCCCATAATTCTGTACAATTGACTAAGCCTCTACCAATCATCTCTATGAGTGAATCTTTTTCTTCATACCTTTCTTCCATCTGGTAATAGGGGGCAAGGAGATGGACACCCCAACCGCCGAACATCCCATGGGTAGCGTCACCAGGGATAACGGTGGCCTTATTCTTAATGTCCTTGTGGACTCTCCCCACATACCCTAGACAGGCTGATATGTTTCTGTGTGGCTACTGCCCACACCCCGTCTGAAACACTGATAGCTTGTGGTAATGCCGAGTTTGTTAATACCTCTACTTGGCAGATTCTTTTGATTCCTTCCCCCCCCCTTCAAACAATTCTAGTATGCACAGTCTGCGGTTACCAGTTTTATAGATAGGGCTCAACGAGGTACAAGTCCCCAGGGTATCATCTCTACACCTTCTAGCTTCTTCAGCTGATAGCAACATGAATTTCGTTCTCCCTGAATTTAATGCTATGTAGTCTGCTTCCACCTTGTACCTAGCTATCATTCCCAAACCTTGATCTCTTCTGGGGTAGGGAATGGGTAAGTTTATAACCTGGTATATCTCGAATATACTCTCGCTATCTAGTAACGGGACAGATATCACTACCAATAATCGTCTATTTTCTAACAAGGTCACACATCCAAGGGCATTATAGTACTT